CCACGATGGAGCCTATTAGCGACCAACTATTGGTCCCTGGATGGTTTAGAAGTATTTGGTCGATGTCTGTCCTATTTTTCACCTTCATAAGACCACAGTTTGAACCTATTAGTAACCAAATATTGGTCGCTGAAAGGTTTATATGCAGCGACCACATGTTATTGGTCACCGAAAAGCTTCACCGACGGTCTATTACCGACCAGCGAGCGATCACAATTATTTCGTCACTATAGATCATTAGCGACCAAAAAAACCTTTAGCGACCAACTTTTTTGGTCGCTGGACCGCTTTTTTTTTTTTTTTAGTGTGCTGATTTCAAATTTTGTAGCATAATTAATATCAATAACTGAGATTGCTTTTGTGTATATCCAAAATTAGCCGAGTACAATTGAGATGTGTGCATATGGAATGAAGTGAAATTCATCTGTTTAAACCAAAAAATAAATAGGATTGATGAGCATACCCGAAAGACTGCTTGAAGAATAACACAGAAATCTGTAGATTGAGCCGTAATTTGTTGACGAGTTACTATATCAATTGAAGAGTTGAATTAGGTTTGGGCCAATTAAGCTGAAGCGGCAAAGAGAGTGGATGAATAGTTTTGGGGAACAAACTTTGGAAGCGAAGAGGAAGAGTGGAAGTCGTCAACTACATGATGTTTCAATCTTTCTGTCATGAACTTCTTGAATTAATTGACACAGTGAGATAACAACTTAGAAATGATGCTGATGAACAAACCAACAAATGGGAACGGTTATTTTAAATTCTTTTTGATTGTACAGTCACTATCAACTTAAAATACTGTTACAACCATTTACATTTTTACATTTTTTTTTTTTTTTTTGCTTGTCTTTCGCAAAAACTCATTTAGAAGCACACTTTTTTCTTTCCCAATTGCCTGCTTTTGCATAGTCGGCTACTTAAATGATCAAATCAATGGTGAACACGAAGTTTCAATTAAAATTCAGTAACCAACTGTTTTAATTTTGTACAATTGGCATATTTTTTTAAACTGTTATAGCAGTTTGGTTAGATTATTTGCTCATCACACGAGGTTTTCTCTTAGTAGATTAAACAAAATTTACCAAAATCATTAGATAAAAATCTTTACAACTAAGCCATTAATTCATAGTTATGTGTTAGATTATTCATTAATCACGTAAGATTTTCTCTAAGTCGATTAAACGAAGTTTAACAAAGTCATTAGGTAAAAATCTTTAATAACTAAGCCATTAATCGATAGTCATAGATTGATTCCATGCAAATTTATATAGAATATGCTTCAAGAGATCATAGGTTACATTGATATCTTTATCATCAAGAAACCATAGAAGAGAAACATTTCTCAACATTTATTCAGTTATTCATTTTTATTCTTCATAAAAAAAGGAAATATCTTTAAGATGGCAAACTCATTATAGATATTTCTTTTCTATTCGATGTTCCATCAGAACTGTCCTTGAAGATATTTAATCACATTCGCATCAACTTGGAAAGCCTTGGTGAGAACATCGATATTAATGGGCGGGTCGGATCCAAAAACTGCATTTGCAATTGTGATTCGTCCTGGGTTTTGGCTGCTTAGACCAGCAAATGCAACAGCATTATTCTTCCCCACATTTAACTGGAAATGAATGAGACCTTGTGGAAACACAAAGACGTCTCCTGGATACAAAGTCTTGGTAAAGAGTTTGTACTTTATGTTTGGATCTCCTGGGTTTGAAGTAACGAATCCAACATACAGAGTACCCTCCACAGCAAGAAGAACCTCAGAAGCCAGGGGGTGCGTGTGAGGCGCATTGAGACCATAGGGTGCATAGTCGATACGGACTAAAGAGATGCCAAGAGTGTTGAGCCCTGGAAATTGGTCGACAGTCGCAAAAGTGACCACTGATCCTTGAGGATTTGATGTATTTCCGGGTATGTTCAGTCCACGAAAGAAGAAATCATCGGCACTAACCATGTTTGGATCCTTGCAAATCTTTCC